TAGAGGCTGGCGATACCTCAGCGTTGTAGTTGTCAGGATTCGGAGGGTATTCACAAAGTCGCTAAATCTTAACGATGTCAATGAAATCAAAAAAAAAAACAGCAAAGCAGAGAGATCACCTGAAAAAGATGTTCGTGAAGGCACGTATATTGTATATGATAAGGAGCCAATCGCTCTTCACCCTTAATCTCGACACTAATTTGTAACCTAATCGCACCGCTGACCGCCGATTTATCTGTTCGCTTCTCTGAAATTTCAACCATTCATTAAAAATACCGTAGATTAAGAATTGAGAACGTCCATACAAAAGAGAAAATGAACTTATGTGCTACAAAATATTCAAGATGTTAGACCATCCTCGCTATTCACGTTATTGAAGTAATAAATGAAAGCTGATCAGAGCGGTAGAATATGATGAATCTATCGAAATTCACTCACCAAGATTGTACCAAACGTCCATTTCACCACTCAGCGTTCGAACCTCAATGATGGTTTGGCCAAGAAAATCATCCGATTCTCTGGTTAACTTCTGCCTCAACTTACTCTTCAGATCGTTATCCTCATCCCACACGCGCACTTTAATACGATCCGTTGAATTGTGACATTCACTGCAAATGTCTTGTGATCAGTATTCGACCATACGGTCATACTTGGTGAAGAAATGATAGAGGTTTAGTTTCGATAGGATAGAAGGGAATGTTCATTGAAACACCGCTGTGAATTTGGGAGTTTGAATAAGATATGAATATCACCATGGAATTCATGTTCAAATTAGGAAATTTTGGCTTGAACTGAAGTGTCAATCAGTATGAATTAAGAAATTTCGAGAGGCCGAATAACTCACAAGAAGAATTGTTCATTCCATACAGGATTCAACTCCTGATGGATTGTTCGCGTCCGTTTCCTCACCTTCCCGACCTGTGCCGTTACATACGGATCACTCTTACCCGTTTTATCTTTGGCTATCAATCCCTGAGCACACCTCACTGAAATTATTGACAACATTAGCTCATTTGAGACTCGTTGAGCATACTGATTATAGGCTCATCAATCCATCGAGAGCGTTGCAGCATAAAGAATCGATCAAAATGCGATGGGATGATCATTTTCAAACTGGCAGCGATTTTTCAGTGATTTCAGAATCAATGCAAAGATGGAACTGAATCAGAGCTGTGTGACAAATTTGTAGCATACTGAAGTGAATATGTGAAGAGTTTTGTGATGGAAACAAAGTTTCAATGAAACAACTGCAGATGGCTATTCATCGGTTTCCAGTTTCGATACTAAATTGCTCTGAGATCAACAAGGAGCAGAGTCTGAATTTATGAACAATATGTAAGTTGAATGTAGAAATNTACCGGTCAATGCTATTTTTGCACTCCATTTTGAGCTTCCTTCGAGAATGCTTGTTTTTACTTGCTTCAACGTTTCCTGCTGCACTTTCTCTTCAATAGCGAATATAGTCCTAGAATGGCACTCATTATCGTTATGTTTATAATAACAACAGATTATTATAAGCGGTAGCTTTGAAACGAGAGCATTTCCGATAATTTATCAACTAAAAAGCATGAATTCCACTCCAGCGTGGAGGTTTTGCGGGACATTTGGAACGAATCCTGACCTGATGGTTTCGAAAATTTCCGGTTTATTCCTCTCCTGTATTTTCATTCGATCTCGAATTACGGCAATCAGATTCTGAGCTCGATCACCTTCCCCATGTTTGGAACTCTTCTCAGCAGCCCCTGAAAATTTTTCACGTTTCACCTTTTTCACCACTTCATCATTCACTTTGCTTTCACCAGTGGGCAGCAACAATCCGTTTCTATGCTATCAACCAGCGAACAAACTGATTCTCAACGAATCAAAATTGGAATTTGAGAACAACAATACGATTTGAGAATAACTGGAATGAATTCCAGATTTGTGCTGAAAGCAGCATATATACTGG